GAAGGGTCGAAGCCCTGGTCAATAGCGTTGCCAGTAATGGCGGCCGCCCTGCGAGCAGCATCAACGACGCGGGCATCAGCTTCCGCGGAGGGAGTGACGCGGAGAGCGTCCTGGGAAAGGACGACTCTCATGCCAAGCACCTGGGCATGGTGAGCGACAGATGCTCGCAGCACCGCGGACATGGATCCCGCGTGGGCAGCAGCAGTGACGAGGCAGCGAACTGTGGATGCAGGGTAATGTGGTCGGCCCATACCCTACCCTTACACCACCAGGTCACATGGCCTCGCATGGCCTTGAAGAAAGCGGACACAACAGTATTCGGGATCTCAGGAACAAGAGGCGCAGACCACAGCAATTTGGGCATGACGAGTCCCAGGAGCAGGTGCTCCCTGACTTCCATGCGGCCAGGCAGAAGTTCCACTCCCGAGGCAAGACTGCAAACTTGGTCGAAGCAAACCCGCAGCTCAGGAAGCTCGGCACGCTTGTGCAGGGCCTTGATCCCGAGGTGTTCAACACGGTGGTCCCTGCCAGGGTCCTGACGGTCCCACACTTGTCGCTTGCCAGCATGCTCTGTAAGCCCCAAGGTGTGGTCAAACCACTGCGTGGCATCTAAAGCTGCGTTAAGGGAAGGCGGGGTGGCATTATCAACCAAACTCCTATCATCCATGTAAAGAAAGGCTTCAACCCCAGGGAAGGCCTTAGCCAGTTTGGCCCAGGGCCCCATGACAAAGGACAGAAAGGCAGGGCTGCAGGGATCACCAGCAGGCAGACCACATGAAGCGCGCACAACTTCCTGCGGGGCCTCCCCATAAACAATGCAATGGCGGGGAGCACCCCAAACCATGCGCCGCATATAGTCCAGGACTGCCCGCGCCACCCCGGCGGAGGCGCCGGCGCAAAAGGCAACATCATGCAGCACGCTGTCAAATGCTTTGCGGAGGTCGAGTTCGGCCCCGCGGACGCAGGGGGCGCGCAACCAAGCAAGAGTTGCAGACACAGCGCTGTGGCCAGGAGAGCCACAGTATTGACCTTCAGGAGGCGGAGGGAACTGCGCCAACAGAGCTCGATTCCAAGATCGAACGACGGCGCTGGCGATGGCGATAGGGCGGGCAGCGGCTTCGCAGCGCTTAGGGATGCCGACAACACGCCAACTGAAGAAACGGTCCTGGCAGGCACCTATGGCGGCTTCGTCTTGAAGAAACATGCAGGCATGCATGAGCTCAGCAAGCTCCACCACGAGCCAGGGACAAGCAATGGCCAGCCCTTTGAGCTCGTCGAAACCGGCCTCACCGGAGCCTTCTTTGATTGCGGCAGCAAGCTGGTCAGAGGTAGGGGCCGAGAAGCTGCTGCTGCCAAGCTCGGCGGGAGGCCAGGAGGTAGCTTGGCACACGGTGTCCCAAGCTTGAGCCCCGTTGCCACTGGGCCGAGTCCAGATCGGCTCCCAATCGGCAGTCATGCTCTCGGACGACAGGTCGGGGTCGTGAGGGCCGGCGACCTTGAGAGCCCCGGCGCCGGCACGAAGGGCATCAGTGGAGGCACGCTTAAAACGGTTACGCCAGAGCTTTGCCTGCTCCTGCTTTAACCTGGCATCCTCCTCCATGATAGCGGCATTGGCCATTTGAATGGCATGGCTTTGGTTGACAGGCAAGGGCAGACCAGCCAGCAGCGAGGTCCAATGGCGAACCTGGCTATGCGTGAGGGGAGCATCACCGCCAGCTTCGGCTTCACATTGGGCAGCAGCGCGGTGCAGCCGCTTCCAGCGCCGCAACAAAATGGACTCGCCAACACGGTGGGCAGCACCGGTCGCGACAGGGCGGACCGAAGCGGTGGAACCCTTGGCACGCTCGGCCGGCTTAAGGCCAAACCCATAGAAACAGCGGCTTGGCAAGCAGCCTCGGCCCGGCAGTGCCAATCCTCAAGTGCAACATGGAGCTCGGGCGCCTGAGGGCCGACCCTTTGAGAGAGAGAAACCATGTGAGCAACCTGGTCAGGAGCGGGCTCGCGAGGCCAATGCCAAGTGGAAGTAGCGCAGCGCCTGTAGCGCTGGGCCTGCTTCGGCCTGCTGGCCTGTGTATCACAACCATAGCAAACGGCCTTATGGTGAGGGATGCCAGGGAGGGCCCGTGCAGAAGCGGACGGGTTGGCAGCACTACCAAAGGCAAGCGCACGGGTAGGGGAACCGTTAGAGGCGACAACAGTGTTAATGACGGGAAACATCTCGGCACCGACATGCTGCATGAGGGACTCGTACTGCTGTTTCCAATTAAAGTCACCGATAAGGAGGGCGGGTCGTCCTAAATCAGCAACACTCCGAAGGAGAGAAGCGAGAAGGCGAGTGTCGGCACGACGAGCGTCTCCGTAGAAGGAGATGACCGCGAAAGTGGGGAACACCCTGCCGCAAACTCTATGGCTTTGCTCAACAGACAAAGGGCATGCAAAAGCGCTGGACTTGCCAGAGCACCGCCACAGGAGGGCCGTGCCGCCCTGCCGGACGGAACCGCGTTATTGACGCGGAGGGGGGGCGCTCCAGCTAGCACGCCAGCCACGCTCACGCGCCACCTTAGAGGCCCACTGGATGGTCTCATGGTGCCGGGTCTCTTGCAGAGCAACAAAGGAGGCTTGAACCCGCTCGGCCTCATCTAAAACCCTAGAAACCTGTGTGTGAGTGAGCTGTGCGCAACCTAGCTGTGGGGAGGGCTAGAGGCAGGGAAAGGAAGGAACGTGCTCGGGCAGGGACCTAAGCATAAAAATTGCCGTGAACTTAAACCTGTAAAAGCAAGGGCTGACCACTACGGGCCACAAAAAAAACGGCAACTGATCCTTAAATATTAAACGTCGTCCTCATCCCCTAATGTATAAAGCCCAACCCGTATTTAATGGGGGTGTTCGTCGTGGGACCGGTGTACAGAAGGGTATATAATAAGATCTTGTTGAACTCTAACTAAAATCGAATACAAAGCTTAAATCGAATACAAAAACGATGAAGTCGAGTAAAAAAAAACGGCTCATCCAGTTAAAACGCAAAACAAATCAGATTTGAAGTCTAGTTAAAATCTAAATGAAACAATTTCAACAGTTGAAAATTATTTGAAGTCGCCATAAAGCCAACTAACATCCGGGGACTTCTGGGACGACGGGAGCGGACCATGGCTTTAGCATCACGAGGCCTAGGAGCAGGTGCTCCCGAACGTCCATGAAACGAGGGAGGAGTTCCACCGGTTGCAGAGTTGTTCAAAACAAACATGAGTCTGCGGGATGGTGCTCTGCCGTCCAAAACTTTAAACCCTAAATGCTCAACGCACAGGACTCCATAACTTGGACCACAACCCTTACGTTCATCAGCATAGAACACATATTGCGGGAGGTATAGTGGAATTCAATGCAAAGGCTTCTTCTTCATGATCAGCTAAAGGGTTCTCTTGTCAGATTTCAATTATGGTAAACAGAATGCTGGCCGATCTCATGGCTCATACACGTTTTGTCTTTAGCTTTAAGGCTTGTGCCTTGAAGCTCATCCCTTTCGCACCCTGGATTTGTAATCGTTTCCCATCTTTGCGCTAGTGCTTTTCAAACCTTTATAGGGCATGGTTGAGTTTTGGGGGAATGGAGTACACCCGTGGTTAGGACCCACTACAGGAGTGGATTTTATAGGGACAATGGGGAGTTATAGAATTGGTATGTTAAGCTTATAACTCCCCTCCTGTAATTGCCTCAGAGCAAAACCAAAAGAATGTGAAGATAAAGAACGGACACAGTGCCAAGCGGGCAGCACCTACTTTAATGTTGGACCCTCTTTATACAAGGGATCCGGTCTAATAAAACGTTTTGAGGAAATTATTCAGGATCTGTTATTGGTTGGGGGGTGCGGAGTAATATTCTTTTAGTACCCAAAAATTATCAACACAGCAAACATTATTGATTAACTTGGGTTTGTTGTAGGTAAGAAAAGCATAGCAGAAACAGCTTGCAAGTGCTTTCTGAGACTATTTCTTCTCTTAAGCCAGGATACACATTTAAAACTCGAAGGCTTAGAGCCTCAGGCCTTAAAGGATTGGTTTTCCAGAGCTGAGCTCTACCTGGTTTTACCTATTAGGCCACATATCAAAGACTCCGAAATCCAAAAGCCATTAGCTGCAGCTCCATATAAACCGCTTGCTCGGGATGATACGAGAACGTACGAGCCGTCAATTTGTAAGGAGGAGGTATTGTACGAAAACATACGATCCATGAATTCTTGTGGGAGGTAGTCCAGCAGAGGCCTGGATCCACTTTAAGCATTTATTTGTTTTGGGGGTCCGGAATAACAAAACATGTTTCCGGCCCCCTGAATATTCACCAGGATTCCAACAAGATTGTACTTCATCTTATCAGGGTAATCTAGAATAATTTCAATTCCCAATTAAGGCCATTGTGGTACTATTCCCTAATAAACAACCATTTAGGATGAGGTCGGGTGAGGCCGCTTTAAATTGCCCAGTTTTATTTAGATTTTCGATTGATTTTAAGCGGATTCGGAATTCATCTTAACCAGGTTTGAACTGGTTAAAATCGGAGGGGGGGTTCAATTGATCTTGAATAGAGCTTAGTCAGATGTTAAAATGGGTTTCTTTACATTTTCAATTGGTTCTGACTGATTTTAGAGCATAATTAGATTTCAGTGTTCAATTAATTTGAAGTAGGTCTTATCTGATTTCAACTGGATTTTAACTTTTTTTTAATTCAAATTTCCAGTGGTGTTGAATGAATTTCCAACTGACTTAATTTGGCTTCAAAGAAATCTTGAATGCTAAATTGCAGTGCCAACACTAAGTAATATTGATACTGAAAACGAGTACCAGCTTCAAGGCTTCCACTGAGAGTGCCGGCTTTTATCGTTTTTCATTGCGCAGCAACTTTGGGTTCAGGGGTTTAGGGTTCAGGGTCTAAGGTTTAGGGTAGCAAATTTGGGGGTTTCCCAAAAATGGGGGTTACCTTTTTGGGGGTCCCCATAATAAGGATTATAGTGTTTTGGGGTCTATATTGGCGTTCCTCTATTAAGGGAAATTACCAGGGTAGCTCCGTCTAAAAGACAATAGTCAATTCTTCACAGGGTCCAACATCCTGAAGCTGACTGGTTCCTAGGAATAAGGGAATATATTACATGGGGATTACACAGGGATTATATTCCCTTATTTCCTGCTAAGAACCAGCAAGGAAATCGAATAAGTGACTCCTTTGCAGCTGGATTGCGTTGATACGCTCAAGCTGCAGGTCGGAATCTCCATGATAGGTACCTGCTCGCATAAACACGAAACCCTAAACCCTAACCCTAGCAGGTCTGTGCTTTGCTTACACCAGTGCAAATGTCTTCTGAGATTCGAGGCGCTTCCGTATCCACATCTTTGTGCCGCCCTTTGGGCGGCTTCCGTTTTTTTGTTGGGCTCTAGTCTCTGCGCAAGGAAGCTGGACTATTGAATTTGAATGCGTGTCTGAATATTGAAGCTGATGACTTGATGGGGACGCTGCGGCCTACGTCTTGCAGTTTAGGCGACTTAAGACATTGCCCAAAATCCCCCCAGACCCTAAACCCTTAGCCTGTGGAATCACGCCAGAGGTGACTTTTTACTTGATAAACCGTTGGAGTTTGACGTCGGATGTGATGTGCACGTTCTTGGGGCTCTGGGCTTGGGCTGTTGAGGTTAGTCTTACTGATCTTTAGCAAGGAACCAAGGAATATATCCTTTATGTAGGAATTGTATTCGCTGGTCCCCTACTCAGAACCGGTAAGTAGTTAGACTACAGAAAAACCACAACATCGTTCGATCCGCAATGTCCTGACAAAATCGAAAGATACGATAATCCCAGTTTCATCTTAATTTCCGTTTCCTCTTCCATTTCATTCCATGAATCTTTGGGCCAAAAAACATCTCAAAGGATCGCATCATCCCTGCTATGGATCTGGCTGTCCGCTCCGAGGTGCACGAAACCCTAAACCCAATTATATCCACAGATTACCCTGTATCCCCCTAAGCCCCAAACCCCAAATCCTAAACCCTAAACCGCGCGGGCTTTCGCTCCTGTAGGATCGATGCCGTGCTCGTCGGCAATCACCTGCGGACATCGTTTCGCTACTGCCCTAGGGTTTAGGGATTAGGTTTAGGGTTATGGTACTTTCCCAAAGTTAGGGTACCCCAATATAGACCCCAATATACTATAATCCTTAATATGGGGACCTGGAGAGCCGAGTGGAAAAGAAAATGGACAATCTTGGGTAATGTAGGGCGCAAATAATGGCCAATATTATGGCCTGGCATGGAAGGAGGCAATGTCGTGGCCTCCCGAATGTCGACCCACCCAGGATCTTCTTCTCAAAAATGCTTCCAAAATGGCTCTGCCAAGACTCCGAGGGAGTTTGTCAAAATGGTGGGGGCCAAGGGACCCTAGGAATATGTGGGGAGTATGAGCGGTTTAGCTGGGTCCCCTTGAAGATCTTATCGGGTTTATCTTAAGAAACTCCCCGTCCGACCCACAGCAATAAACATAATCACAATAAAAACACAAAAGCACAGTAACAGCAACAATAAGAACAATAACAACAAACAAACAACAATAGCAATAACAATAAGAAGAAGGTAATAACGCTGCTCATGATGACCCCCTTTATCCAACTGGAGCTTCCCCGGCCTCCCAGAACTTGGCACCAATCTGGTTGCCGCCTGCAAGGGCTTAGGGTACAGGACTTTGGGATTCAGTCTATCTCCTGACATGGGGAGATTTCAATCGCTTTGCCATCAATATTCAACACCCGCCACCATGCTAGCTCAGTATCCCCCACACCCTAAACCCTCAAGCCTAAACCCATCTAAAGCCCAATCCCTAAACCCTAAAGCCTAAGATTACGGGGGAGGTGATGGGCTTGAAGCAGTGTCCTATGCCCTGATGCCAAGTTGTTCTCCCAATCTGCCTTGGACTGACAGCAATAAAGCAGCAAACATTAAACACAGTACTAGTGTTAGTAGTGTTACTGGTGATAGTGATAGTCAGAATAATAGTAATAATAGTAATGATAATTGTCACAGCAGTAATAGAAATAGAGTCCGGCTAGGGCTTCGGATCAACGGCCAGAAGGCACACACTCAAACATAAGGACCTCACAAAGGCAAGCCAATTGTTACTCAGTGCCCCCAGAATGCCGGTTCGACAGTCAAGCCGCACTGACCGCCCTGGACGTGCACGAGCTCACGCATGGCTGCAAGTAGCACGAGGAAATGGCACGAGGGCTGCTTGAGAATCTTCGAGGGCGCTGCAGAGGTGCACAATGTTTCTCTGGATTTGGGCGTCCTTCTATCCAAGGATTGCATGAGGGACTTTAATTTTTATTCAGGGTGTGTAAACCTTTCCCTCAGCCCTCACCATACTCCGAACACACAGAAGCCACACATCTTCTTTTCATCTGTTCCATGAAACCCCAAAAACTAAGGCCTCAAACTTACGAAGAGGAAGTGGGACTACATTTTTGATGGCATGAGGGCCAGGGCTTGACTTTGGCATGCAGGCAGCACACAAGACCAACATCGAAAGACTGGGTTGCTGTTAAGGACCTTGATTTAAGTTACTCTATTCAGGAAACCCTATTACTTACTATACATAACCATTATGGTAACTTCATCAATTTCCTTAACAGCAACCCAGAAGAGCCGGTGTCTTTTCCCGTGGGGCTGGCCTTCAAGATCTTCTTGAAAGCTTGCCAGGAGTCGGGGCTCCCAAAATCCAGGGCTTCTGGCTTCCGCTTGTGCAGCTCATATGTCACACGCAGACACATCCATTTGGTCTATAACTATGGTCTAACTGCTACTGTACACAAATACTATTATCCATCTATGCACATGTACGAATATGTGTGTCTCAGATGATTAACTCCGGACACCACATCTGCAGCCCCTAGATTTTTAGAAGCTCTTGCATGAATTCCCCAGCCGCATCCCCTTGTCGCATGTGTGTAACCGAGATGAATTACAGTCTGAGCAGTAGCAGGGTGCGAGCACGGGGTCTGCAGAGCATCGCGCTCATCCGTCATACTCGCCCTCTTCCTCATCAAACTCCCCTGCCAAGGCAAGGCAGATAAACGACAAGCCATTCGCCAGCACCTTTGCTAAACGTTTCAACCTCAGACCAGACATCAGTCCTAGGTGGCTGTCCTTCTGCAGAGAGTCTCATCCAAAGTTTCGGCAACGCATAGTTGCGTGTAGCAAATCACGTTAGCAAACAGGAAGTACTACGGACCTAGGCAAATAAACATTGGAGCTACGGTGCACCTGAAACTGCTGTACACATTGCAGATACGCCCTGAAGACCCAACTTTTCTTGCACGTTTGCCGGCCTTCCTCCTCCGCAGTAGCGTCCTTCACAAATGCACAGCTGCGTGGCTTAACATATGTAATCTGGGGCTCCCCCACAGCATCACCATTAGGCCAGTGATCGGAATGGCAGGGCTTGCACTCATCAGCGAAAGGATTGAAAACGTGCTCTATGGAAGCGTGGCCATGCAAGGCTTCTCAGCACACCCGCCAATAGAAGTATCCCCGCCCAGCTGAGGGTTGGTCAAGATGATGGTTTCTATTTGGATATGCTTCAGTTAGAGATTGTGAAGAGGAGCCCAAAACAGTTTGAACAGCGCCTCAATTCAACGGTGGCACCAGCTCTCGACCCTAAATACTCAGAAGTACGAAGCTCTGACAGCAACCTCATTAGTACTTGATCTGACCCACCTGGTACTGCTGGTACTCGGAGACCAGGTCGTTCATGTTGGACTCTGCCTCCGTGAACTCCATCTCGTCCATGCCTGTTCGCCATCGCGCAAGGAGAGATGGAACGGAAGACAGCTTCTTCCACCAAACGAGTCACTCATATGATCTCACATGTATACTGCAGCTGTCCCAAACCGTGAAGAGCCTTCGCCAGTGTACCAGTGCAAGAAAGCTTTGCGGCGGAACATGGCAGTGAAGTACTCCGCCACCCTGTCAGGCAACTGCATAAGTGTCTGAGGCTACAAGTTAAAGGCAAGTAATGCAAGTATCGTGAGTACTGTCCAGGTTATGATTATCCAGGGTGCGGATCGGAGGATTTATGTTCATAATCCAAAGTGTTTCAAAATGAGGGACCTCCATACCCCTCCATTGCTTATATCATCCCCGCTTGCAATCAAATAATCTGACCATTAAAGGGGAGAATTGGAAGAGTGAATGCGAGAGAGTCTAACCGTAAAGGCGGAGACTTTGAAGGGTAAGTGTGGAATAGTCTAACCGTAAAAGTGGAAAAGTTCAAGGGAAAAGGCGAAGATGTCGAACCGCAAAAGTGGAGAACTTAAAGGGTAAGGGTGAAATAGTCCAATTTGAAGGGGAAGGGCAAAGAGCGCATGTATATGTGTAGGCATGCATGCATGCATGTATGTATGTATGTATGCGTGTATGTATGTATGTATGTACGTACGTACGTATGTATGTATGTATGTATGTATGTGTGTCGGTATGCGTGTATGTCGGCCTGCATGTACCTATGAAATTTCTAAACCACGACGTTGTGGGAAAACCGCAAAGTGGGATCTGGTTAGCAAAGCTCGATCTTGGGAATTTCTCCTAGTGGGGTACCCTCAGAGACCCTAGGTGAATGTTATGCAGGCTGCAAGAGTCCCTCTTGAGGATTCAGCACCCGCTGAGGCTGACAAGTGCAGGTCTTGGAGCCCATAATTCTATTATTATTATTATTAATACCACTAGTACTAGTACTATTCATATTACTATTGTTAGCCGTTATTGCTATTATTACTACTATTCTTGTTACTATTACCGCCATTATTGCTATTCTTACAACTATTACTATTATTCGTATGATCACTATAATCCCTGTTATTATGTTTACCATCATTCTTATTACTATAAGCCTACATTCGTGCCGTCTCCAAACAGGGATGCCTTGAATATCCTTGAATGGGGTCCTGGGGAAGGTAGGATGCTTTGACACAATCCACATTGACCACGTCCCTTTTAAAAGTGCTATGTGGTGTTCCTCGTGGGTCTTGGGAAGTTGAACATGCTTTTGTTTGAAGCAGGGCGTGTTACGCAACATCCCTTCAGATATTGTTGAGACAATCCAAAGGCTTGTGTGAAGAGGCTGTGCCTTCTCTCCTGTTTGTCCTTGCAAACTCAGCAGCCTTGTTCCCTTCAGTTGCCATATGTGCCCTTTACAAGACACCCGCCCAAGAAATGGTTGCAGGACCTCATGCCGCAAAACCCGACTCTGGGTATGTTGATCACTGGCACCACCGCGGGCAGCGGGTGCCTCTTGAACATCTCCTGGATAGCTGTGGAGTTCCCTGCGAAGGCGACAGCCATCTTGAGACCTCAGGACACTCTTCTCAAACAAGTCTCTTCAGGGTACCCCCCCCCCTCCCGCCCGTGATACGTACCGGAATCTACTGTACACATCTCAACGGTATGAAGTGGGGCAATCACTAATATCAGGAAATCCGATCATGAAAGCAATCTGGAAAAAGTCATTTAAACATGTATAATATGAGCCCTACAGGAAAAATCAGTGTGTTGCTGAGGGGTTATGTTTGTGGCTCAAATATATACTATGGTTCCATACTATGAACATTTGGCGAAGGGCATCCTTCGGCGCCTAAATCCTAAACCTAAACCCTAACAGCAGCCTCCCCTGCAAAGTTGCAGCCCAGGAGCCCTTGGGCGGGATGTCGCACACTGACGCTTTGATGTTGTTGGGGATCCACTCCTGGGCGCCAGCAAGGTAGGCTAAGGGTTTCGGGGTTTAGGGTTTGGGGGGTGAAGTCTTTGGAAATTGGATTGGGCCCGCCAGCTTGTCTGCAAGTGTGGGATCAGGCATTCTGTCATTGATCTTCCATTTTGGGCCTCAACCCCAACTGCTAGTTGTTGGCATGCCATGGCCTGGCAGCTATCAAGCTTCAGAGCCGAGGCACCACAAAGTAGGAGGAGTTCTTGTTTTGGACATTCAACATCTGCTCATCCACCTGGAACGATTCAAAGCTGTCACCAGGCGTTGCAGCATGTGGCAACCATGTTGTCAAATTGTGGTGTAGGCAGATGTCTGAGGGCCAGAAACACTGTGAAACTTCTAACCTAGCCTGGAGTTAAATACCAATTTGCACTCCGGGCACTAATGACACTAATGGTACAAGAACAAATCCTGCCAAACGACTTAAGGAAGGAGCACTTTGCCAAAAGATGGCCTCCTTGGTGGACATGCGGCCGCGGAAGAGGGCTGCTGCCGTGAGGTACCGTCCATGGCGGGGATCTGCCGCACACATCCTTAAATTTTGCCCCAATGTATACCCTATTATAATATAGT